CTTTAAATTTTAAAACCCCCCCCCCCCCAATTCATCATTTATTGAGCTGTAAGCAATTTAAATATTTTATGGTATACCCCCCTAACGTTCAGTCCCCACTGAGCTCTAAACTTCTGTTATGTGTCCTCAGTGCCAATTCGTGTTGGGACCTCACCACCTCGTAGGTTTGGTGTCTCTACCCCCTTCCCATTCTCATTCCTTTTTTCCTGACGGAGTTATAAAGTACACACCCTAATTAGCATAAAAACCAACGCACCTCAACCCAACTTGAATTTTAATCTCAAGCTTTCGGGTTATTATCATCAAATCCGCAACCCAACTGCGTTGTTACATATTTTTGTGCGCCTTGAGAATCGTAGAACGTTAGAAAAACAATAACTCAGCCTCTAAGCTAAAAAGATATCCGCTTCTTTCAATATCCAAGAGAAAACAGAACATTTGATTGCTTCTTCAGAAATTAAAAATTCCTTTCACCACAAGCCAATAGCTTCTTATTTCCTGATTCGAACTAATTTCGGAGAGTATTAACGCTAAAGAAAATTAAACTCAATCAATCTCAAAGCATTAAATTATTATTGATTGGCATTAAAATATGATTAGAGTATGGCGTATCGGTATTGGAGGCTAGAGTGGGTTGAATTCTAACTTCCTCCAGTTATGCACAGTTAGTCTACATCACATTATATATTACCACGTGGGGTGTGCGATAGACTTACCTCCACGTGGTGCACCCTGGGCAACGTATACTCATGCGGCGAAAAAGTCTATAAACCGGCAGTTGACTCCTGACTTCAAACTCTCATGTCCTACCGCAAGTCATATTCGATCCCTTCCACAGTACTCACCTTTATTTTTTCTCTACCTTTGTGTCTGTCTATCTCTTTTACATCTGTGAATCGCTCTTCTGTTCCCCACCCCTCGACTTTCTGCTACTTTGATGAACCTTCCCTCTGTGAAGCCCGAAGTCAGCTAAATGGCTAATGATAGCTATCAAAACGCCTGCCATTTGAAATAAATATAAATAAATTATTGAGATTAGCAGAAGGTAAATCGAACAACGTTTAAATAGCTATGCAAACCACAGAACTACTCTCAGAAACTTAGCCTTCCAATATTAATTGTTGTTGTTGTGGAATTAGAAATGGAATAGTGTACATTAATTATTATCTTTGGCAATGGCAAAATGCTTGACTGTCTAACCTTCAAATATATTTAGAATTGTGCTCAATGAATGTCTATATTAAATTAATGCTGTAGGTGCTATGGTTTTGCTAAAAGTCAAATAAATTTGAACATCCTTGTATTTTATATTTCCTAATGAACTACTTTCGTTGTTCAAGACTTTGTTCCGCAGTCATCCATCAAAGTCCCATTTCACCAAACACCCACTGTGACTAATCACGTATCAACTCACAATACCCAAAAAAAATATTAACCAATGGCCTCTTTTTAAAAACTTGAGTAGGAAGTTCTTTTGTCTTTATGAGAGACACGAGTTGAGTGTCATTAATCACAGTTCAAGCAGTGTCACCTTTACGGCTTTTTGACTTTTTTGAGGAAACAGCAAGGTCGGGTTGTTGCAAAGGAGGGGGNAGTACACACCCTAATTAGCATAAAAACCAACGCACCTCAACCCAACTTGAATTTTAATCTCAAGCTTTCGGGTTATTATCATCAAATCCGCAACCCAACTGCGTTGTTACATATTTTTGTGCGTCTTGAGAATCGTAGAACGTTAGAAAAACAATAACTCAGCCTCTAAGCTAAAAAGATATCCGCTTCTTTCAATATCCAAGAGAAAACAGAACATTTGATTGCTTCTTCAGAAATTAAAAATTCCTTTCACCACAAGCCAATAGCTTCTTATTTCCTGATTCGAACTAATTTCGGAGAGTATTAACGCTAAAGAAAATTAAACTCAATCAATCTCAAAGCATTAAATTATTATTGATTGGCATTAAAATATGATTAGAGTATGGCGTATCGGTATTGGAGGCTAGAGTGGGTTGAATTCTAACTTCCTCCAGTTATGCACAGTTAGTCTACATCACATTATATATTACCACGTGGGGTGTGCGATAGACTTACCTCCACGTGGAGCATCCTGGGCAACGTATACTCATACGGCAAAAAAGTCTATTAACTGGCAGTTGACTTCTGACTTCAAACTACCATGACCCGTCGATATGTCATATTTGACCAATTCCACAGTACTCATCTCACCTTACATCTACCTTTGTGTCTGCCTCTTTTACATCTTTAAAACACTCTTCTGTTCATCCCCCTCTCGATTTTTTTCGATTTGATGCTCCTCTCCCTCTGTGAAGCCTGAAGTCAACTAAAGGGCTAATGATAACTATCATAAAGCCTGCCATTTGATATAAATAAATATATTACCACGTAGCGCAACAGTTAATAAACAGAATAAATTTGAACTATTTTTTTAGAACAAAGACGTACCATAGGCATCTAATTCTTGATCAACAAGGGGGGAAAGAAATGCGGCAATATTGCTCTCGGGAATTTTTTCATGAATATTCACTAAGCAAAGGGCAATTTCCTCCTTTTTCTTGGTTGAAAGAATGGGTTCTAGGAATTGGACGAAATCTGTAGACTTCTCGACGACTAGCTGGAAAAGAAAAAAATGGTTGTTACGAGAAGGAAATATGTTGCATTTGTCCATAACTCGGCTCATTTACATCTCTACGAGGGGAGCATGCTCTTCGTTTAGACATATGCGATTCACTGAAACTCAGCCAATGAATTGACAAGGTTAATCTTTAGGAAACATTTAGAATATAATCTAATTTCACATTTTTTGTACCGTATGGGAGAAAATCACGAATAATTATCACAAACTCAAAAAAACCCATTTCAAGTTATACATTCCGTTCCTCGACAGCTTTGAGGTAGTTTAGCTAATTTCGAGAGCCATTCCATACTAAGGGATTCTGACATTGAGATTTCTGACGTTTAGTCAGGGCTTATTCGTGTAGCAATACGGTACATAATTGGTGACTCCGATGTATTTTACTGAGCCTGGTGGAATCTGCTACACCTGGCATGATCTCCTCAGCCAAGACTCAATCTCTTCATTGAACTGCAATATTTTTCGGGCAAAAAAATTTGCGGTCCCCCGCCAATTATCCTATTTTCGACCCATGAAACGCACATATCTGGCTCTCCTAACTAGTGTTGTAAAAGTCTTTGATATTGTTGATAATACACCGGAAGATAATGTTAGAACATTGCCAAAAAAAGGTGTTATCAGTTGTCCATATGTTTCTCAGGAAGAAAGTCTGTAACAACTTTACCAACTAGTCGATTTAGGAAACCGCGATTCTCGGCTGTTTCGTTACATGTGAGCTCTTTTCAGAGGAGCCAATCAAGACGGCTAAGTTTTGAGGCAATTATTTCCTCCTGCAAGTATGGCAAAAAGTCTTGCTACTAGAAGTTACAGGATCAGCCACGACGAAATAACTGAGTTAGCCGGCGGGAGTTAAGATCTCCACGTTCAGTCACGTGTTCATGAGGAGGAAACTCAAATT